ATTGTATTAGAAAAGGTCGACGGAAACGGCAAAAATAAGAAATAACGTAAAAAGGCTTCAGTTCACTTGAGGTGTTTTGACTTTTTCAAAAAACAAAAAGCCCAAAACACTTTCCTAACTAAACGGAGGACAGAAACAGATTTGCTAACATTTATCCGCATTACTGATCAGCTATTTCTGCTGCCTGCGTCTTCCTGGATGTTCCCACAATGCACTTCTTCCATTACAGATACCAGTTGAAAGAACGATGACAGGAAGGAATGATGGCAACACATTTTTTTTCTTCCCTCAGACATGTGGTCAATAACGTCCTTTTCTGACATAATTGGCTAATTTACTCCTAATCCACATTTTCGTTTTTATTTGCAACATTTTAAACGTTTCCTCAAAATGACAAATTGGACAGAAAGATATCAACAAGCATGGGGAGGTTACTGGGACCAATTGGTTTGAAAAATGCTAATATCTTCCATCACTGAAGCTTAAGAGCTTTAACAGGATGTGGAAGGGCAAATATGATCCAGCTTCTCTGTAGCCCCTCCCCCACCTGTTGCTCTGCAGTCGCAGGCAGCTAGTAAAAAGAATGTACCAAACTATTTCCCTCATTTATGCTCATTTACCGTTGGAACATAAAGGAGCGCCACCTATAGCCCTGCTTTAAATAACAGTTGGCAACCTGCAAACTGACTCTGAATAATTATCTAACCACCATTAACTTCTTGTAATTATTACGCTATAAAGAAAAGAACGGAAAAAAGCACTGCAACAGACGAGATGTATACAGCTGCAATTTAAAATGCTGGTTGGTTTAAGTGAGGGAAAAAGGGAAGTTACAAATAGTACTATAACAGTAATACTTTAAGCAGAATAGATGCTGTATTTTAAGTGTAATCTAAAGCAATCAGTCAAAGATATCATACCTTAAGAATCTCATACCAAGAGCGACATTAAGGCATTCTAGTGTTCTGTAATGATTTAACACACGTTTAATTCAGTTGGGTTTAATTCAACAGCTCAACAAAGGCTTTTGTAAGACTTTAATGCAATTGCATAATATAATTTTTTTTTCAAAGGGGGGTTTGTTTATGATCCTTCATTCCAAAGCTGTAAAGGCATAAATACTTCCTCTCGGTTCAACCTATTTTGTAAACAGAAGAACCAGCATTATAGATTAGGAATAACAATAACCAAACAAGTATAAGAAAAAGAGAGCAGACACAAAAAAAACTGATGCTTTCCAAATAAAGTCAGAGGAAATATCCGGAGGAATTTTGAGGCAAGCTATGAGAAGGTCCCACATTATTAATGGGATCACACAAGTTCAACTCTATTAAAAAGATCTTGTTGTATTATTTTTCTTATTCAAGTTTGAACGCCACTTTCCTCGGCGGAAAACTCTCGCAATTCAAAGGGTTTTAAAGTGTTTCCCTGAAAACCGAACCTCGTCAAAGCAAACAGAGATAAAAGTAACATAATTGACTAAAAGCAGATAAGAGTTGATGCGACGTAATGCGTTCCACAGAAACACTCTTCCCTCTATTTAAAATCCTGCAATAATTAAACACTGTACAAACACATGGCTAGGTGGGAACAAATATGCTCCTCTCATGTCCAGCAGAAATCCACATCAACCCCTTCAGGGTTCAAAGCTTTTTGGATTTTTTTCATCTGGATTTCATGGTAGAGGGAGGGAAAATGTGAGGACAAAAAATAAGCCGCTACTTAGTATGTTCAGTTGGGCCACTGGCCTCAGTGAGTGTCCCTCCTCAGCCATCACAATGCATCTCTGATGCCAGCATCTTTTATCGGCCAGTTGGCTTTGGACCATGGGAACCAGGCTCTGCTGAGACTCAACCACTCAACCAGACACCCCCCCCCCCTCCATGGCTGTTCTGGGATGCAAACATCCAACAGACAACTGGGCCCACTACAGCTTTGGCACAGAAGCATGCAAATCCATTCTGCTGGTTCCTTCAACTCTAAAATGATATGAATTTAATACTGGACGGTTAACACTGGCCACATGATCAGACCACAATAGTTTTCACTAACATCTTCCCAATTGTTGGCTCCCCAATAAAAGATGTACTACATAAAAATCGAAATCCAGGAGTGTGAGTTTAATAAACAGCGACTATCAGACAGGGTGCTGAATTCATCCCTCAATGAGTTAAAAAACAACGTTTGATTCTTTCTGAATGTTATGATATATTTTCTATTTACGCAGAAACATAGCTTTGATTTTCAGAGCACCTGACGGTGTTCCACCCCTCTGACCACAAGCAGCAATCAGCTCAGGTTATACACAGACAGCTAGTCACACTTCAATGACTCAGTTTAAATGGGTGGAATAGATCATTGTACTTTAGCCCTCATATAAACCCAAGTGATGCATCTTCTTTTATAAAATGTTCTATTAAGTTTTAAACACATATCAGCATCAACAAGTTCAACCCAGGATTTTAAATCTCTTCAAAACGTTGGCAACATTTTCCACATCAGATCATGTTAGTTAAAAATGCAGTGTACCAGAATATTTGGATATGGTGATAGTACTAGTAAATATTACCGTAACCATATTAGATGAGCTGTACGCTCATATTTTTCTTTCCTCTCTGTCTTTTGTGTACTTAAATAACTCTGACCTTCAGCTTTCTGAGCAATCAGATTGAAATTAACTGTTAGGATGTTTTATTTGGCTCCATATTGGATGTCTGCCTGAAATGGTTTTGGTTGCTTATTGGAAATGCCAAACAGAACAAACTGGAGCAACTGCATGGAAGCGCATTTTAATGGAAAAAAAAACTTTAACAAAGAGTTAAATATTTGTTTATTCTAAATCCAGAGGTAAGAGAACATTTCCTAAAAAAGTCATGGCACTCCTAGATTTATTAGGGATATGATAGGGACTTAACATTTTCAACACAAAGTGTTTTTAATACTTTTATAACTAAGTTATAAGTCAGTAAACATGTGGGTATTACTGCAGACCAAAGCAATCTTAGACCTAGAAACACAAATACACCAATAAGGCCTGATTTTTAACTACACACAATAGCAATACCAGTAGTAAAATATATTCTCAAAGGTTAAAATGTTAAAAACCTGCTATCTGAAATATCTAAAAGCTGAAAATGCCCTGTTTGATAGTTTAATTGCATTAATTTTTTTAAAAGCCAGTTGCTTAGACTTTGGGTGCCTAAAGGCTTTTAGCTGGTTATCTCCATTTTTTTAGGACATGTTTATATCCATCTGTACATTATGTGTATGTTTTATTAAAAGTAACAGACCCAGTTTATGAATTACAATAAAAATGTGCTGTAGGATACTTTATTGGGGTTGAAAGTCAGGAATCCTGCAGAAAAACTGAGCGATCAAAAGATAATCCCCATTTATGTCTAAATTAAAACATTCGCTGATGTATCTATTAAATCTAAAAAGTTAACAGAAAAAGATTATTTCACTATCTTCATTATGTGTCCATCAGAAGCGGGTGAAGAAAAAAAGTGGCCAGTTTAAATCATCAGCCAAATTATTGGTAGATCCCTGTTTTTTCTTGAAAACTGTGCCTAAATATTAATTTACATATTTGGTAAATACACAAAATTTCCCCCAAAGTGAACCTAAGTGCAATGACTTTTAATATGACTAACCCATATCCAAAACAAGCTAAACCTATGATGCACCCACAAGCCATAACATTTAGGAGGCTGAACTCTTTGTTTTTGCTCCATCTGAGTTTTACACTTGTTTACAAATCACAAATTCTACCCACTTGGGGCAAAAAAAGCTTTCAGCGAGTTAAAGTCAAATAATCGGTTAAAAATGTCTGTCATAAATGCTATTGGGTACCTTATAGCCCGCAGGTGCTGCTTTTTATTGAAAATTGTTCCTCTGTCACTTGAAATTCAAGTGGCTATTCAAAGTTGTAGTTTTAGAAAGTTTTGCTGATAAAATAAAAAATATTCAGTCTATACTTTCCTACACTCTTTGCTAACAAATAGACGCATATATTTCAACATACATTCTGTCTTAATAAATAATTTTAGTGGTCAAAATTTCTGGGGCGAACACCTTTTACATTTTCATTACTTACCTACTATTATCAAAAATTCTTCTGCATAGAATTAATATTTACATGGACTAATATCTAGATTAAGTTATTATTAAAGAGGACTTGCAGAGACACATAATTTTCTCTTTACCCCATATAACACAAAATTTAGTTCTGAAGTAAGCATTAATTATGTATATATCAACTTTAATGTTAGTATTATAATGTGTATAATTAACCACATTGTTTTAGTTGTCAAGTAATTGCTATTAAATAAAAAATTTGAAATGTTTAATAAGTGTGAATATTTTCATTGAGAGTATTACTGCCACCAACTGTATTAGAGTGAGGAAAAAAATGGTGGGGGGTGGCAAATGATTGGCTGAGGGTGGCCATGGGCACCTCAGGTCCCCCATCTAGCTCCGCCCCTGACTTCAATTGCCCAAATCCACCTACATCACATCTCCAGACATAAACAATAACATCAAAAATAAACATCGCAGTGGATTTTTTTTTAAAGAAAACTCAACATATAAAGATAATTCTTTTGTTTTCACATTGCTTTATAAACAATAGTCAAATAAAGCGCTACATCTTTAATGATTGGTTAAAAGCGCAGCTTGTTTCTAAATAGTAATGATGATGAGTGATGAAATACTTTCATTTAACGTCAGTTTTAGAGTTTGAGTGATGTGTTAGTCAATAATAAAAAACAAACTCACCCAAACTTTATGTTAATAGACTTTTTCTAACCAAACAGAAAACAACTAAAAGGTGAAAATGAGGCTTAAAGATTTCATTCAGGTTGCAGTGAGTCAGCTGTCTGCCCCTGTTTGGTGGGCATGTCTCTGCATTCCTCCACACAAACTTTCATCCAAAAACCAGACATATCTCTGCTGAACATCTCCCACAACAATCCCCTGATTTAAAACTTTTAAAATCTTACCTGATAAATGTCATGGAGATCACTCTACAGACAAAAATAAAAGTTCTCCCAACTCCTACTTCCTCACGAGCTCAGTCCCAGAGCCAGTTTGATTCAGCAAGGTAGACCAATGCTCCTCCTTTTCCTCCTTCCCCTCCTCCTTTCCCCGGCATGAGGTCATCTGGAGGGAGGGATATCAGAGAACAAAGTGCCTGTCCTCCTCCCCCTCCCTCTGGAAAAGCCTCATGGACTTGAAGGGAGGAAGGAGAAACAAACTGAAACTCCTGAAGGGGAAACTTCAATATTTAAGCCCTTTTCTCTAAGTTTTATATGATTGATTGATTCCAAATCAAAGCAAGTTGACAAAAAATATTGTTTGAGATCAATTAAGCTTTCTTTTTATGTTGTTGACCAATCAGAATAGAACATAATATTCAGTGAAAGGTAATCCTGATCAATTCTATGACAATTTATTTTTGAATTCTTGGGTGGCTTTATTTATACTAATTATAGCTTAAATAGATCCTCAGCTTTTTAACTCATTTTGTCTCATTTTAAAACTCTTCTTAAAACCCACTTCTTTTCTTTGGCTTTTAACACCATGTAGAGTGTTGATTTTATGTACACATGTTGATTTTATGTACACATGTTGATTTTATGTATACACATGCATATTTTTATCCTGTGCGGGCAGTGCTTTTATTTTATTTTATTTTATTACTTTTATTTATTTTAGTTATTTTATCTTTTTGTGCAGCACTTTGGAAACCTTGTGTTTATTTAAACCGTGCTATATAAATAAAGTGGATTGGATTGGATTGGATAACTATAACGAAATTTATTACTTCGCTCTATAATTATTTTTTATTTAAGTTACTTTTTTAATTTTAAATTTTTTTTTAGTTGTGTGATGTATTGTTCGTACGATTTAATTAACAAAAACACCCTAGGAGGTTGATTGTATGCCTTGTTCTCAACTCTTCGAGTTGCACAATATTTTTACGATGCCAATATGTACATATTGTTAATTACTGTTACCCAATGTGAAAAGGTGGGCACATTGACACACACCTCTACTGTAATGTGCATTGCTTCCTAATAAATACATAAAAAAAGAATAGAACATAATAATCTTGTTCTTTCTCCGTCAGAGGGGGGAATCCAGGTGTATCAGCAGCCAACAGGGTTTACAACAAAATATAACTATGCAATTAAAGAACAACTCCCAAAGTCTAACAGGTGCTGGAAGAAAAGATCTGCAACTACTCTCCATAGTGCACCTTGGGTGGGAGGGGAGCTCTCCAGTTCTGTAAAAGTCAGCTTAATGGGGTGGGACACAATGTCCAACAGGGATGTTATTTTTCTAGAATTTTTCTGTATCCCACCACCTGCACTGGGACATAGTTGCAGAGCTACCCTGACACATTTATCTAACCTCTTCCACTCAGTGTCAGATTATATGCTGCTCTAACAAGCTACACCAGAAAAAGATGGCTCCTGAGACCACAGAGGTCTTACCAAGGACAAATATCAAACTCTGTGGGGGCTAACAATATATGAAATAACATATCTCTGGGTATAAACGTGGAGCCCAAGTAGGTCATAGGTGTTTCTGGCACTGGATTTTCTTAAGACAGATGACAAAAAGCCAAACCCAAAACATAATGACGATAGCAGATAGGGAGTAAACTCAAATGGATTCTTTATTACAAGCCCATCGTGAGCTTAGAACTCCCCGACCTGAGCAAAATACATGTGCGATCTACACTTAACATGTTATGCATTAGACCAGAGGTCCTAAAGCATCTTGGATTGCCTCCTGAGTAGATACCAATTTTTATATATATATATATATATATATATATATATATATATATATATATATATATATATATATATATATATATATATATATATATATATATATATATATATATATGTATGAGGTTCCGTTTGTGTCAAAAATAAGCAGATGTAAAATGTCTAGATGTTGTGCTGTTGTTGCATATGTGTTGTCTGCATATGTATAAGTTGCACATGTATTTGTTGCATATGTGTTGTCTGCATATGCATAAGTTGCACATGTATTTGTTGCATATGTGTTGTCTGCATATGCATAAGTTGCACATGTATTTGTTGCATATGTCTATGCTGCATATGTCTAAGTTGTACTGTATATGTAGATGTTGCATATGTTTATGTTGCATACGTCTAAGTTGTACTGTATATGTAGATGTTGCATATGTTTATGTTGCATACGTCTAAGTTGTATATGTAGATGTTGCCTCACTGTAATCTTGCCGTGATTACGAACATAGCAGTAGTGGAACAGGACTCAGATTGTGTAGATTTGATTGCTTTAACATGAAGAAAAAAAATCAAGTTTGAAGTTTAAAGAATGAAGGAAATGATTAAGGGTAAATGTTCCTCACCATCCCCACCCTGAAAATCATATCGTATTAAACTCCATCCATTGCCTTTGCCCCCTGATCGTTGTAGGGCTGCAGAAGAAGGGTAGGGGAAGGCATCTCTTATAACAGTGGTCATATCTTGCTCAATAAGAGAGAATGACAGTCATGTTTTGGATATTGGAGGAGAAGAACATGCAATCTCAATGCAGAAGGTTTTTGCCAATGCTAATGCTACTGAATTTAGATTAGACTTAAACAAACTTTTGTCATTTTGTATTTAAAAAAAGTGCATAGAAAACGAAATTAAAATGCATACAGCTTTTTTGACAGTGAATGAGCAGTTTAGCAGTAAAATAAACATTTCCATCTGTAAAGTGCAACAGTGATCAACATGAAAACAGTGTAGGAGAGACATGGTGTAAAAGGCCTTAACGTGAAAGGTTAAGAGCGTTGAAAAAGATTAAATAGATATGGTGCAAAATGCAGTAGAAAAATATTTATTTGAAGATTCGCCATGTAGTGCAAGTATGATGTTTACAGTGTGATGCAGAGTCTAGATTTGTGACTTGATTAGAGTTTTCAACAGTTCAACAGTCTTATGGCAGCGGGATAGAACCTGCTGGTCCTGCAACGAAAGCTGTGGAGCCACTTCGTGTAAAACAGTTTATTTTAAATTGCACTCAATCGTTCGTATCTAACAAATTTCCTTACACACAGTGCTGTACAACATAAAGCACTTAGTGAAAATCATAAGGCCTGATTGCCAAAAGTTATCTATACTTGCTTCTTTCCCACTGTTTTCTATTTTGCCAGCTAAATGGTATAGCACGGAAACGAAATATGAATATGTGTCATTAAATCTTTAAAGTCTGTCCAAATTAATCCCTTTACATATTTGATGATAACTTTATCATCTGGAAATTATAAGCAAATGCTCTTTGAGCCACTCCATGTTGGTTATCAGTTAGCTGAATGATCAGAAATTAGGGCAAGCTCCAATGATTGGAGCTAATTCAAGCTTTCAGCAAGTGGTAAATTTTAAATGCAATAAGAGCGTCAAATCATACTCGAGTGTAAGTCAAGTTAACTTTTTTTTGTAATATAAACTAAGTCTAACTTTATCACATGTGTGACGTAGGTCTGACTCGAGTTAAGTCATCGAGTCAAAGTTCATTCCTCTGGAATGCGTTTTTATCAGTTTACCTTCCTTTACTTTTATTATGGGTTTTTTCTTAAGTAAATTGTTTGCCTTAAGATGGTTTGAAGTTTTACAATTTTGGTCTGTAAAAATGTGACTAATTTTTTATTGTTTTCTCTGGTTTTATTGGCTCAAAGTAATTCGGTTTAATTGTTTTGATGAAAATATATTTGAACTGAATCTCTAACTGAAAAACCATCCCAGTCATTATCTTTTATTGACCGAACCATCCGTCTCTAGGGAGCTATATAACCAAGCGAACAATATTGCTCAGCTGGTCCTTCTGACTCAATTTATTCTCTAAAAACCCACTATAATGAATGTCCCTGCCTTTTTTTTTTTTTTTTTGGCAGGGATTTCTTTTGGGAATTTATATGACAAGAATTTTAGTTTTTGGTAGATTATATCTATCAAGTGTGTCAAGTGGATCTGGGCCTCTACAACCAGCCAGTCTAATCTTCTAATTGCAAGTTAATGACCAAACAACAGATCAAAATGTTGATTGCTTAACAAAAATGCCCTACTGGAATATGATCTATTGCCATACAGTATGCCTATGTATTATTTGGCAGTTCCAAAAGGTTCACTTTGGGTAAGCACTACTGTGTCATGTTTAAATAAACCTCACTGTCCTCTCCTTGTATATGGTGCCCTCTAGAGGTTTTATAATTTTTTTTTGCAGCCTTTAAGAATGATTTTAATATGTTCAGATTATATTTTCCCTGTTTCATGCCTTGTTATGGAGTCACCACACAGGGGGCTTTCTCTGCCATGTCGCTGCACGCTGCAGGGTCAGCAGGGTTTCCTCATGGGCCCCCTCTGCCACTGAAAAGCACCATGCCTGCAGGTCATGGGACCACCGACTGCTGCTACTCCTCAAACAGACCTGAGGAGGTCTCTGAACTTTGCACACAGATGGCATCAAAGGCATGCATGAACAGCATGAACGTCACAGAGGGATTCTTGTCAGCACATTGTGTTTACAAGGCAACTGTTGTGTACATTTCTAGCAAACAAATGAGCAGATATTGTGGTCGTATTCATGGAAACAAACGGTTGACAGACATGTTAAAAACACATTTTTGGGTTGTGGATTGATAGGAAAATGTTTTACCCTGTCAGACAGACCAATCATCCTGCAGATTTAGGGATAACACACGTGGACAAAATTATAGGTACTTCTCGTTTATTGAAAAACACCATAATGGCCACAGAAATCATTTTAACTGGACCTTGGAAATAAATAAAAAATTATATGATCATAAATAAATGAAAGTCAGACAGCTCTTTTCCATCATGCTTCAATTGACTGATTTAAAAGATGAAACTCAAGAAACAGGCCTAGAAAAAAATATGGTACCCCCACAAAAGACTAAAAATAATGTGGTCAATGAGAGATGTTAAATTAAGGTGTGCCAACCAATTACTAGTGAGGTTATTGCTAACCAGCGACCGCTTTGGTTCAGCTCACCTGGCACTTTGGCAGGCATTTAAACAGCCTCACTACTCAGTCAATATGTGGGAGTTTGTAGGAGAGTTGCTGTTAGTTGGATCAAGTTTGTTT